CGAGCAGTACCGAAGGACGTGCTCATCATCATTGTGGGCTTGAAAATTGAAACTTGTGATTTCTTCAGTTAACTGAGTTTAGATCTACAGGATATGTGTCATGTATCCGATTGCCGGGAACTGGGTTGCAACATATATTGCCTTCTGGTGCTCTCCGCAGAGCAAACGATAAGGCTGCCATATTTACATTTCGTAGCAATCTGTGTCCTATGAAGTGTGGGCTAGCTTTTCAGTTGCTGAAGAGAACTCTAAGTAAAGCGCCAGTCGTCACTGACTTCGGTTGCCCGTTTTATGCCCAGAGGTGATGTAGGAGGCTGTGAGTTTGCTACAGCAATCATGTGTTTTGTGTCTCCCTAAAACATTTGCAACTGACACCTATCGAATGTGGTTGGCTTACCAATGCCGCTTTTATTCGTCGGAGCACTCATGCTGCTGCAACCGAATATTTTCGGCGCTCCTGCGTGGCCCACGTGCTGCACGCATCAGCAGAAATGACGGCCTGGATGTGGAAGGGGTTCTGGGCAAATACACAGAGTTGTTCCTACTGTAGTTCTGAAGCAAGGAGCATTTTACTCCAGCAGTTCTAAACCTACATGGCTCGAGCTAACTGATAGCTGTGTCACATACCGACACGCCCTGCAAGCGGCATCTCCTGGCAAGTGGGCAGTTAGCAACACGATGAGACATTGCTTCGCCGTGCTTGTTGCAACGTTCGGTCGTCGCAACCCGCAGTTAGTACGTCTTTTTTGGAAACGAATGTCCCTCTTTGTTAGCCATTTAGCTCCAAGCGTGTCGACTGTCCCACTTGCCCTTATTCGTACTGCTGCATTGGCTAGATTGCAGCAAATTCTGCATGAGGCACAACAAATGATACGGCGTCTCTTGGGCAGTATCAAAAGCTTGGCAAATTTTCTGCTTCTTATGGTGGCACTTAAACAATCTAAGCGCAGTTTCCGAAAGCTGCGGTGCGCGCAACAAGAAAAGTGAAATGAAATACAGCACTGATTGCCTTAATGCTGGTCCTTGGTTCTTCAGCTCTTACGCTCCTCGTAGTTTTCCAAATCTGGCTTAGTATCCGGGAAATGATGCATTTTCTGTTCACTTTGGTTCTGCGCAAGGCCCCATAACTATAACCGTGCCATGATGTCGCCTTCGGAATAGGCCGTCGGCTAGTGTCACAACGTATGGGGCGTGTTGGTTTGGCAGCTTTGGGGCATCATGACCGGGCAGTTGATTGAAATTCCTGAAGTGTGAAATTATGAAATTATGGCGACTCCAATCTGGTGTGCTTGAGACCACATATAATGGCCCCCACACGCACGCACAGTCTTAAGATGCAGATGAAATGAAGGCTTCTGAGAGTTGATACAGCAGCAATATGTTGTAAAAGCATTTAATGCATGTTCTAGCTGTAGACACTTTTGGCATAAAATGATGGGTTGAAGGTACCACAGAGCTACCAGAGCCCTTCAATTCACTTGCCTCGCTAAGCAAATGCTGCAGTCAAAATAGGGAAAACTGAGCAGGGTCAAAGGCTACTTTTAAATACTTTAGACCATGTGGGCAGCCGTTGTGTGAGGCGAATCCGCTGCAGCACTTTGAAGAAGAGAGGCTGTGGCATCCTTCTATGTTGCAGATGTGTCGGGAAGTACGACACTGGCTTTGCGAAGAAAGACAAACAACTTAATTGCTCAAGGAAAAGGCTGCGTAGAAATTATTTGTTGCACTAGTTCTCTGCGCGTTAGCAATAGCTGAGCACGGCTTAACAACAATTTTTCACTACGGGGAGATGCTGCTTTGAGAAATTCGACTCAAAGGCCTTGTGTTATTTGTAAAAGGCCTGGGCGCTTCAACAGAATGGCGACGCAAAGTGTGAGCTACGGTGAGGCCTTGCAGCCAAGGTGTGCAGCTCCCACTTTAGCTGCTGATGCCAGTTCCCTGCCAACAACCCCGCAGCTAAAGTTCCGGCTATAGCACTGCTGCCGCAATGCAAAAGTTAGTATCTATATCAATGTGGCACTGTCAGTTGTGGTCTTAAAGTCTGTGAGGCAGTGCAAAGTCAATAACAATATAGACACCCCTAAAGGAAGTCAGACACTATGCGTGTTTCCTGTGCAAAGCCTCTTCACCCTGCTTTGTTTACCATGGTAGCACAAGAAGTGCAAATCTAGTAAATGTGGCAGCTAGCGCTATTAGACTGCAATTGGATTACTTCATGTCGTTTGCCAAAAGCTTTCGCCGAGAAGACACTTATGTGCTTCCTCCATTAAAAGCAGCGAATTGGCAAGCCACAAGATGGTGTATAGGCACTCTTGGCAGTGGTTTAGAGGCTGTCTACAGGGATACAAATGTGAAGAACAAAAACCCAAGCTGCTTTTTGAACGTGTTCAAATGTGCCACCGGTGAAAAACGCACTTGCTGAATTCGGTGCAGTTGACTCTTTAGGGCTCAAACGTGCGAGCTAATGTAATAATGCTCCTCGCGTCCAACTTCGAACGACAAACTTCATCAGGGCCCCATAATGTCGATTTTGTCGAATTTAGTAAGTGCGTTTCGCCCCGCCGGTATGTTAGAATGCGTCCAAAGAACAGGTTGGAATTTATTATTTGAAGCTGTTGCATGGCCTGGCTTAGTGTCATGTTGCTGCATCTTTCACCTCTGCTGAGGCTCACTGCCTGCTGCAATTGCGTTTTCTCAAATTTCGACGCCCTGTTAAGCCCCGTCGTCGGTGCTTTGTCCGTGTTGTGCCGCCGGCCTTATGACGCTGGGTACAAATGTCTGAAAGAGGCTGAATGGACTCGGCCTCCCCAGGTCTGCTGGCTAGTCTAAACGCAGCTTATGTGCGAATTGCAGTAAATGTCATTGAGGCAATGCCGCAACGTGCAATCCTTATGTTTGTCTGCATCCCCCGCGCATCTGTAGAGACCAGTGGAGCAAGCCGTGCAGCCACTGTGAATAAATGCAGTGTACGTGCAGGAGCTTCGCGAGACTCTAGTTCCTGCCCATTTTTTCTTTTCACAAACACAAAAATCAATCCTAGAATGGCAGCAAAGCCCCTCTCTTAGCTGCCTCAGCAGAATAGATGGAAAGGAGCAGTAGAGCAAAACAAAACAGATAGGGTCAGCTTAGGGTCCTTCTTGAATGCGCAGCACAGGATCCGACAATGATAGCTGGGATGTACTCCAAAGGTTCCTCTGCTCCATATTTAGGGGAGAAAACGCGTGAACTTCAACGTGAGTTTCAGCGCTTAGGTAGAATGCTAGGCTTAGGGCTTAGGCTTCGGGCTTAGCCGAACACTCTGGACACAAAGTCTAATTGAGGTTTCGTAGCATGCGAAGAACAAGACCAGACCAGCTTTTTGAGAAAAGCTTCTGTTTCAACCTTGTGTCCTTATGAGCATTGACTCTGTTTTCCTAAATGGAAACATAAAGCTTCACGACGCCCAGGTCTAGAGTCTTGGAAGGATTCACAACGACTTCTGCAGTGGTGTCTACTTGACTCAGTGCATTGGCGGCAGCTGTGGCTAGCTAACCAGCCAGAAAGAGCTGAAAAGCCCTTTTGAACTGAACCAAAAACACTGCAGTGCCGGCGCTGAGGCAAAGAAATTTCTGTTTTATACATATGTGTTCAAAATAAAAGGGTTTGACGGTGGGCATGTCTGTGGCAGTCACAAGTAGCGAGTGCTTCATCATTTAGATTGTGATACACATGAACACGGATTAAAGACTCCGAATGGTCCGAGCTACTTTCCCGAGAAACCCCAGCCATGCTAGCCGCCTGGGCGAAATCAGTGGGGAAATGAAGCGAAGAAGAGCTATGCGGTAGCTCTCTGAGCTTCAATAAGTATTCAGTAAAGCTTTAAGGGGAATATTTGGTGCTAATGGGCGGGTCTGTCAGTATTAGTGTGGTAGCAGTATTTCAAACTACGATTAGATTGACCTACTAACGACCTAACTGTGGCATACATGAACTGCATCCCCGTATTACTCGCTAGTGGATCGCAACCTTTGCATAAAGTCTGAGAGCTTTGGCATTTGAAATGCTTCGAAAATGCCGTCATGATACACCAGCAAATGCGTCAGCAACAGCCTTTTCGCGCGTAGCCGGCTTTATGTGGAACTGGGGGCTGCAGCCAAAGCGGTGTTGCTGTTTCTGAAGCAGCAGCTTGTTTACCAAGGGAAATCTTGTTGCAGCTCAGTCCATTCTTACTGGGGATCAATTCAATTTGGCAATGAAATTAAATGGAACTAACTTGCTTACAAATAATCCCTTGCTTCCTCAGGGATACAGCTGCGGATCTGCAGGTGGTGATTCTACTTATTTACCTGCAAGAGCGGAACTGTCCGGCTTCAACTTTAACTTTATTTCTTTAATTCTTTTTCGTTTTTGTGCTGAAGCACATTGGGTGCAGGACTTTAGGTTCTTCCCTCTGCATGTAATGCTTCAAAGCCGAGGGTAACAAGGCCAGAATCGGAAAGGCGAAAAGAATCAGATCAATGCAGCTGCATCAATGACTTCTTCGCGCCACCAAGATATGCAAACTCTGCAGCTTAGCAAGTGACTGGTTGCATGCGGGTTTCAGTGCTTTCTTGATTTGCCTGACAGTCTGTTTCTCTTTGCTAGCTAATATCGAGGAAATAAAGAAGGAGCAGTGGCTAGCTCTGCAGCAAATTGCAATGTGCAAAAGCCTGAATGACGCGCTCGGCAAGTGCCACAGCCGGTGACCTAGACACATGTTTCCCGCCAATTACTTTCAATATTTTGGGCTTACTTATCTGAATACGCATTTTTTCTGATTACTTAAAGAAGCATTTCTTGTTTTTGCTCCCCGTTCCCAGCAGGATGCTCAGTGAGCATGAGCCGATCACAGATGTATCGCCTCCACTCCTGAATTCGTGGATCCTCTTAACCAGAGCGGGGGTCCTTCTAAAAGAAATTTCCCGTTTTCCTTTTTTAACATGTTTATTATTAGTGCCTCAGTTTTTAATGGCGCGGCGGACACAAACTAAAGTGGGTGGGGGGCCCCCGCGGCTCCTCCAAACCGATTCTGCAATGAAGAGTGAGCACGAGCAGCAGCTGCTGCTGCGCCAGTGCTCGGCTGCGTCATCTTGGCCTTTACTTCCCTGCTTCTTTTCTTGAATTTGACCTTTTTGGGCAGTAGAGGCAGGCTTTTGTGGTAGCGAGCCTCTGTGGAAAGCGCGGCAGCAGCAGCAACTGCAGCTGCTGCTGCTGCTGCCGCTGCTGCTGCTGCTTCTGTTGGTCGAGGCCCCCTCTCCTGGCCTTCTCCTGAGACTCTTGGGTGAGCCTCGTTGACTCGTAAGGCTGCAGTGCTCTCCACGTCCTGCTGCTCTGCTGGTGCTGCTAATTTGCTGCTGCTGCTCCCCCCCTCTCCCGCATCCTTGGGATCCCGAGAGCTGAGCTGCAGGGCGCAGCACGCTCACCCAGGCCCTCGAATTTTTCATTTTTCACTTTTCAAGAAAGAAGTAGCAAATCAGACTGCAGCAAGGACACCATGGGCCCCAGGGCACCCCCAGGGGGCCCCCGGCGAGGCAGCCGCTGCTCGTGGGGCCTCCTGCTGCTTCTGGCTGTAGCAGCACAGACTTTGGGGGCCAGAGCAAACGAGGAGGTGTATCCGGCGCAGCAGCAGCCGCAGCAGCCGCAGCAACAGCCGCACCAGCAGCCAGAACAGCAGCAACCCCTAGAGCTTCTGCGGGCAGACCTGTTTCAGCAGCAGCAACGGCGAGGAGAGCCGCATCAGCAGCAGGAAGTACTGGAGGAGCAGCAACATGAAACTGACGAAGACGACGCTCTAGAGCCGCTGCCCCTGCAGCAGCAGCAGCACGAGTTTGAAGAGCAGCAAAGGCAGGAGGACGAGGCCGAGCCTGAACAGCAGCCATCTGAGATGGCACAGCAGCAGCCGCAGCAGCAGCCCCAGCAGCAGCCCCAGCAGCAGCCGCCGCAGCAGCAGCAGCCGCAGCCGCAGCAGCCGCTCGCTGAGGATTCTGAGGGCAGCAGCGCAGCAGCACCATCCGCAGCTGCTGCTGCGTTGCTGCAGGATCTGCTGGAGTCTCTAGAGAGCCAGCGGCAGCAGGAGAGGCAGCAGCAGCAGCTGGCCGACGCAATCCACGCAGAGTTGGATGCCCCAAGGTCAGCAGCAGCGCATGCGCACTCGTCAGCAGCAGCAGCTGCTGCTGCTGCTGCAGCAGCAACGCAGGGCCCAGAGGGGCACCTGAGGAAAAAGGTCATGAAGGTGCAGCAGGGCTTTGCAGAAATTGCTGCAGCAACAGTCATTGGCAGGAGAGCAGATGATGAGGACGTAAGATAGCAGCAGCAGCAGCAGCAGCAGTTGCAGCAGCACAGCAGCAGCAGTAGCAGCAGCAGCAGGTCACACACTGCAGCAGCCGTAGCAGCAGCAGATTCGCAGTCAGCATAGTGATGGGAAAGGTACCCAGCAGCACTAAATAGAACTGCAGCAGCAGCAGCTGCTGCTTCTGCTGCTGCGGCTGCCTCTGAATCTTGCTTGGGCCTCTCCATAGCTGCATCTCTCGCTGCTCCCGCTGCTGCGCCTGCTGCCGCTGCGTTTGCCGCTATGGCCGCTGCTACCCCTCCTCCTCTGCTGCTGCTGCCTCTGCTGCTGCTGCTGCTGCTGCTGCAGGCGCTGCTGCTGTCAGCACCGCTGCCCGGGCGGCCGAGCTCTTTAATATCTGCACTTTTTGACGGCCACGGGGGCCACGTGGTGGCCAGAAAGTGTTCTATTTTATCTCCTTCTTTTTTTGGTTTGTTTTGATTTTAATTTAATTTATTTTATGTTTTAATTCCTGTTTCTAATTAATATCTTTTATTTATTCATTCAATATCTTTTATTGTCCTTTATTTTTATTTCTAATTTATTTCGTTTTCTTGAGGGACCGCTGTTCCACTTCAACTTTTTTTTTGGTTTGTCTTTATTTTCATTTTAAATTTATTTTAATTTGTAGCTCTCATATAACATCTTTTATTTAATATCTTTTACCCAATATCTCTTATTATATCTTCTATTTAATATTCTTTTGAGGAATATCTTTTATTATATCTTTTAATATCTTCTATCATATCTTTTATTATATCTTTTAATATATTTCAACCTTATTTCTTTTTTTTTTCTTTTTTGACTTTTTTGACGGCCACGAAGGCAAATGTTTACTCTCTCGCATGCAAGTGCAGCAAAAGGTCACTTCCTGAACTCAAAAAAAAGTTTA